CTCTGGATGCTCCCAGTAGTCAGAGCATCCCATCTCTACCAGAAACAGAAGCAGATGAAGAAAGACGGAGATCGATGAAGAAATTCGCTGTTCTGAGACAAGAGGGTGGAGGGAAAAAACTGTAGAAAACTACTACTGGCATCGATTTATGTACATTGCAATTTAGGTTCCAAGAATAGCTGCTCAAAGAACGACTTCAAATGTCATCACAACACACGTCGAAGACGGATGCGTGGCTCATCCTAGAACAGATTTATCAATGCTGAAATGCTTGTTCTGCTTATTTTTTCGCTAAATGAAATTCTTGGTAGTTGTGAAGACCGTGATATGGAAGCGCTTTGTAAGCTTTCAGTGATAAGGTTCCAGTACTACGGAGTAGATGATTCATCCTGAAAGCTCAGCTAGCAAGACCTTCGTTACCTCCCTTACCTATAGATAAATAATATTCTGGCAAGCAAAACCCAAGATCGAAATTATTGGAAGACTATTGTTGGTAGGTATTGGGACCCATGGAAGCTGAGCAGCAAAATTACTGGAGGGGTCATTTAATTGCAAATAGCTGGGTAATTGTTGATTGTAGAGGTTATATGTATATGCTCTACAAAGCCAATTTTTCGAAATGGTAATAGAACATATTTTTATTGAATAAAATTGGATTTGATTTTGGAGGAAATTAATGGAATTTCTCCCTGAAAGATATGAAGACTCGTGTTCGAATGAAAACCCACCTGATAGAAAATCATTTCGAAAAATTCCCGTTTCTAAGACACTACAAATAAGCAAGCTCAAGTAAAAGCTGGTTTTCTCTTTCGTATTTCTATCATTTATCAAGTAGTCACGGAAAGTGTAAGTGGAGAACAAGGACATAGCTGATCAACACCGGGCACTTCAAGTTCCTGCCTTCCGGCATAACCACGAGGTGGAACTTACCAAATCCACTTCAAATACGGCGGTACTGTGGGTGTACGGTAATAATGATAAATAAACAAGCTCAAGTGAAAAATCAGTTGCTTTTGTCTGTGGTTGTCGTAACGGCATCGTATGAGTCACGGAAGAGTGGGCGGTTTAAGGGCAGTTCAGTTACTTTGGGAGAACTGCTTGTCAATCTTATAGTATTGCCGTATTCAAAGCCGGTTCGGTCAGTTCCACCGTAATGCCAGAAGGCAGAAACTTGAAGTGCTCCGTGTTGATCACCTACCTCCTAGTTCTCCATCTACACTTGCCCTGACTACTTGATAGACCAAATGTAAAGATGGTTGAACGGTCGATTATTTGAGGTCCAACATTTTTTTTACTTAAAAAGGCTATGGATCCCCCTCCTTCCCGAATAAAAGTTGACAAGTTAAGTTATCTGTTCTAAATAATATGGGGACAAATGACTTTCTTCAGTAGGGCACGGGCTAGCAGGGAGGTTCTCAACAATAAGTATATTCGTAGAAAACTGGTAGGCTTCAGTTCAGTTTAAGGAGAGTAAATGAATTTCATCGCTTTACAGGAAAAAATGGCTCCAGAAACTCGCCCGGTTCGGCAAGAAAGTTCCCGTTTCTTGAGTAGTATAAGTTTGTCAGCTGCAAAAAAATGTAATTGACGAGTAAGTCTTTCCGCTTCTCTTCGATTACCCTCCCACCCACCTTGTCCCCTCCAAGCCCTCATGAGGCCGTGTCCGAAATACTGGCCAACCACAATATAAGCCCTCTGTAGTCTACATCACTTCCTCTTTTCCAGTATTAATCATTTTGATAGAATGGAAAGAAAAGGCTCGATCACTCCCTCAAAAGTTATCTATGGTCGTATCGATCAGTATTCTGCAGCCTAGACCCCCTTGACGCTGACAAAAGGTTAATTTAATAAAACTTTCGAGCTATGGTCAATCCCATCTGAGGGATGAGCCCCCGCATTGTGCGGTGGCCAGAAGATGTAGAAGTCCGAGTTTTTATCCTCCTGGGCGAGTCTGGTGTCAATTAATTGAAGGATTAAAGGTTTGGTTGGCCTGACCGGATATCGATCCTAGATCGGAACCCTTGACCATGCGTGCGTGATAGTGCGCCACTTGCCACTGCACCATCTCCGGCCCATTACGCAGATATTTTGACTTTTTTTGGATACCCAGTCAGGTTTTGTTCGAGGATGCCACCGAGGTGGTAGCCGAGAAAGACTTTCCGATTGGCCAACCTTTTAGGCTGATCCTTCGACCGCTTCCGTGAAAGTATGAAGACGAACGTTGGCTCAGGTTAGGCAGCGGCAAATGGTACATACCGTAAAGCAGTTCCAANGAATGCAAGGGCTCTAATGTGTATTTATCTGAAGAAGATAAATAGGAACAGCCAGCTCCATCTCGCTTCATTAAATACTCATTCCTTTGGGTTTCAGAAGTGCCCGCGGTAATTCCTCCCGATGGCTCCGTTGAATGTCTGGTCTTTCAATGCCGTTAAAATGGAGGACAATTAGATAACGAATGGTGGTTCAACGCAAAACGTGGCCCTGGCTTTACATTCCAGAACGGCATTTAGTGGGAGACGGCAGAAATTATTATATTCAGAGGCTAAGCGAGGCTGATCTCTTTTGAGCTAGCGTCCGCTTGCGCTAATACCTTTAATCTAGTCTCGGAATGGCGTGCGAGAGGAAGATGGCTGATTTCGTGAAAATATCGTCGCCTACGCTAATTTTCAGCAAGGGAATGATGTTTTTATAGTTCTTTCACTACAAATTCCTCTTGAAAACTTGAAGTTGGCAATAATTCAGCGGAAGTGCAGGCCAATAAAAAAACATGCAAAGAAAAATTCTTATAGTGGTTGAAGCGCAATAAACACGGCACATTACTAAAGACTATAAAATAACTTAGGTCTTAGTCTGAAACAAGAAGAAGTAGAGGAGAGAATTTCAAATTGGAATAGGAAGAAACAGTGACAGGAGTGATTATCGCTTGTTTGTCCCTGGAGATATGCCTTGACCAAGATATACCAGACCTCTCATCAGTGCGGAGTCGCCTGGTTGATGTACAATTTATTCGGATATCCCATATAAGGCCCTTTCGGCCTACCCAGCTCTCAAAAAGACACCTATGTAACTAAGGGCATAATTATATTCTGCCTCCCTACGATGCTACTGGACGACTTCCAACACCGTTAGAGTAGGCTGGTTTAGTCGGAAGCATGTGGTGAACGAGTGGGAGGCTGTTTGAGGGGATTGCCTACTTCCACTGATTCGTGTTTCATCAGAGGTTTCCGTAGAATTGATCCGTACCAAACGATTGCTTTTCCATAGCCCATGCCTAATGCATAGCCTTTCCCATGGATAGTCCCGGACAGAAATCAGTCGTAGCATTGTATCGAAGGGAACTAGAGGATCCTGAAAATTGCAATGGAAGAATCTGCAGCCAAGGATTAATGAGGTGGCAAATCAAGCAACAATATGCAGCGAAATTCAAAACTACAATGACCTTTAAATAGCTCCTTGGGTGCATATAATGAGCCATGAGGGCCTGAAGTACAAGTCAATACTTTCACTATTCCTGTACTTCCAATCCGTACTGCCCCAGGCTTGCGGCCTACTTTGAGGATTTAACAGACTCCTGATTCACTGCCTCATTATAGCTCTAAGCACCTCGCGTAGGATTGTTGGCCCATCGAATGATAGCTGTGTGGGGCCATTGCGGTGCCCATCTAGCTAGGGAAATGGTCCATTGCCTATGTCTACTAAGGTTTCTCCTCCTGGCTACTTAGCTATAGCACTACAGCTTGTGGCTTTCAGGTGGCTCGAACAAAATTTCCAATAAAGTTCAATTATTTTGGTAATTTTAAGAAAAAATATATAAATTTTTTTTTCTGAGAGCTGAACTTCCCACTCTGAGCGTCAACCAGGTAATCAAATGAGTAGGATCAAAAATGAATAAATAAATATTAATTTTAGCTTGAATTTCAATCGTTTTCAAGGGATCGCTTTTTTTAGAGTGCGTAAATTAGAATTTTCTCCTACAGGCAACGAATATTCAGTCAATTGTTCACTTGAGGTCGGAGGAAATGGCCGGGCAAAGGACCAGAAAGTACGACTGGTCGACAGGCTTATCACGTAACAGCCTAAGCTGATAGAACACGAACTGGAGCATCCAGAGGCTTCAAAAAGTCTCCGTTGCCTAGGTCACACCTGCTCTTAAATGCCATGAATGATTTTTGAAAATAATTAAATATGTGGAGCCTTCAGGGAATCCAAATCGACTTTGGGCGTGCTGCCCCCACATTTTAGCCGTGTAAGCTCCATAATAGGGCAACGATTTTGCACGAAAATCTGCACACGCAAACGATGCAACTAAGTAAGGGCAGCCGATAGCATCAGGGATGTACTTTGACTACGTTCGTCGCCGAAATCCTATTACTTTGTTACTAGTCCTCCATTTCCATTTTCAGAGGCGGTTCAATTCTGACATACTGCCTTGTGAGGCCTGCAAAAAGTCTCGCGTTATTCGATTTCGTTTTGGGGATGCGCCCAGTAGCCTACTTCAAACCAAAGTTGTAGGGATGTTTGAATGCGTATTTAGCCTATACACTTTTGTACAGATCTGGTGCCAATCGAGCGACCCCGCAGGGATGGAAAGTTTTGTTGTCCTGAGCGAGTATTGGTCAGGGACTCGATCCCCTGTCGACGAATCTGTGATAATGCGCTACTTGCCACTACACCACCTCAGCCACGACAATATGATGATATAATTGACTAAATAAGTTGTGTGCTCACATAAATAAATGTATAAACAAGAATAAAAAAAGCCTAGGTGCAATAATCGGTATGGGAGAGGGGAAAACGACAGGAAACTCGGGAGGGATGGCGGTGAAAGGTTACTATTTAAAGACAAACAAAGCAGAATGTGTCATCACAAAGCTAAGTACAAGCTTTCAATGGAAGTGAAATCTGACCTGCACCCTCGAAAGCAGCCACAATGCGAATATTACATTACCGTGGGGGCTATTTCAGTTGTGACAACTCGAATCACGAAAGGCTATAATCAAATGGTAACGAGGTCAGTGAGAAAGGATGGTCTATTCGTCGTGGGTCGTTGGCATGGTGCCAAATGGGACCTAAAGCCGTCGCTGTCGGATGATGGAGAGCATATGTTGAAGCACACAAGGGCTAGGCCAAGCGCACTCAGCGGCGTCCACCACGCCAGCCCAGCTTCATTTATTAGGCGTCGTCCCTGGACGGACGAGGACGACGGGTGAGAAAGCCGGACGAGCAAAAGCTTAATTAGACGATTATGGATGCTGTGTGACACACAGGGATGGATCAAACCTCCCACCCTGCACAAGGACTCATCGATTGGAGGATAAAGAGGGTGTGGAACGAATTGGAGCCCGGACCAGGCTATGTCCTGACAGCATAAGCTTCGAGATCAGAAACGATGAAAAAAAGGGTGCATTCAGAAAAATCTGGGAGAACTCGAGGGCAGTGGAAGTACCGGTAAAGAGAAATTGAGAAGTTCATCTTGGAGGGTCCTCAATCCTGAAAAGACGAACAAAATTGAAATAGCGAAAGGGCTCAGTTCGGAAATGAGCAATCGAATAACTATGACTGAGAATTCACATACTGCCAGAAATCTTCAACCCATAGAATGGAGGGTGAGAGCAGTGCAGAGGCCGAATATGCCAGCGAACAGAGCGACATCACAGACTAGCTGGCCATCTGTGCCGGTTTCGAACCTCATTTACAATGTGTCTCAGCTCATTACTCACTTCAATGACATCATAATTAAAGGCTCATATTCGGGTACCACACCATCATATCAGCCAGGCTCTTTCTTGACATTAGAGCATTCAGGGGAGAGAGTTTCAATTGGTTACTTCCAATGAGAATCTTACAAGTGCTATCGGATTGGCATCACTGGGTGAATGCTTTAGTTATGGACCAAGGCTAGCTACTTGCTTTAGAGGCCCAGTTCAAAAATTAGTGAAGCCCTACCGTTGACTGGCTGCAGTTGAGCCACAGCCGAGTTTCAGTTGTGGCGTATATTCTCTCAGCGATAACCCCTACCCATTCACTTCTCCCTTGCCCATTGATTTACTGCTTCGAGGTTGTTTCCTGGTCCCTAATTGTTTCTAATAAATTATTGAACTTATTGATCTTGGCACCCAAACAGTAGAGGAAATCCTCCAAAGATATTAAGCCAAAGGGGACCACCATTCATAGGTTGAACCCAGCAAAGTCTTATCTAACCTCATCTGAGGCCCACAGAAAAGCGCAGAAGACAATCTTGGCACAGGCATCCCATGGAACTCATTCTGTAGTTGGCCCCAATTCATTGAAGTTAGATGTGGGTCAGGAGGTGCCACTGCTAATATGCACCATACTTGGAACCCTAAGTTTTCGAGGGGACATGAGAATGATATAACTTGAGTCTGTCCTTGTACTTCCCTGACCACGGATTTATTCTTTGAATAATCGAATTCACAAAAGTTAGTTTTCAACTAAAAATTGCCACCAATCTGCTCTACTGTACGTGAAAATGAACTGATTTTAGGAATTAAGCTTATATGAAAGCCTTTATAGTATTTGCGTGAGTCAGACGACCTACTGGTATGTACTTCCACCCCTCCCTCTTACAATTAGACAAGTCTCTTCCATAACCTCCTGGGGCTAATTAAATGATATTCCGAATAATCATGGAAGATTGCCATATACATATTTATACGAAACTCGTGATATACCACCAAACCGATATATCCTTGATCCTCCCGTACATCCGCACTCCATTGGGAATCGTTAAGAATTCGAATGGCCTATACAATGACCACACAGGAAGCCATTACGGGAAGTCAACTATTGCCCACATTCGTCTCCTTCCTTTTAGGGTAATAGCTTTACCAATCGACAGATTCCAGATAAGCTAAAAATATGTTTAGCTGAAGTCAACTTCCTTTAAGCAGTAGGCAATAGTGGCAATTTGGACGGACTAGAAGAAGATATACTGCGGTTAAGCTCTAACTTTGAGTATTACTGTACTCTAATGTGGTTACTGTACATAAGTAGTTTTGAAGCCCGATACGAAAAGAAGCTATACTGCTTTTCAACGGATTTGCGCAGTTTTCTTTTATTGACAAGATTTACTTGTGATTGATCCAGATCGTTTTGGAGGATGGGAGGCCAATGTAGGAAGTTCAAACAACTTGCTATAACCCATGGCGCCAGTGAAAAGCAGTTTCGGCTTGGTGTAAAAATCTCTTTACGTAATGGGAGCAAGTTAAATCTCGTCCAAACCCCCTTACAAGCCATTCCCGTCACGGTAATCTCGTAAAACCACTTACACTACTTTTAGAAAGCCTCAAGATATTTGCTCGCTTTCTTCGTCACCGATGTACTCCTCTACATCGACCCTTCCGTTTTCCAACCCAAAAAGGGTACCTTAGAATTATCGTGAATTGTGCCTTTAACTGATACCGTCAGATATAAAGCATTGAACTCCCACCTTCCCTCTTTCTTCTGCCGCTCCACCCTCTCCAACTGCCCCACCCACGTCCCCAGGTCAATGCAGAGCCTATATACGTATTCAGAAGTTTATATTTTGGATGAAAGACAACTGCGTGGAAGCATGATTCGAAGGGACAGATCATCCATTCTTTCCATCGGCTATGGCAAGAAAGATGCCTAGCGATGGTCTTTACCACACACCTGATATACCACTGTGGAACCGATTTTGTGGGTTCAGGACGATCGAAACGAATAGGGAACCAACTGTTAATGTTCATTCTCGTTCATGGCAATGAGTACAGTAACGTTTTTTTTTTTGAAAAGTATTAATCAGCTAGTAAGAGGCAGTACATAGTCATCTTGTGGATCGCATTCTTTACGACGATTCGTCCCGTATTTATTGCCAGCAGGCCGGCTGCCGACAAATGGGAGATGTGTCGCCATCATGGGCTATTTGTCGAGGTGTACAACAGCTGTCGAAACAGTAATCAAGTAGTTTCGGCGCTCGTGAAAGAGAGCCGATAGCTATCGGAATGGTGATTAAGCAGATACTTCGTGTACACAACATCATTTTTATGATGACTAGCTAACTGTTGTAATTGTGACTTGACAGATGAATGAAAGATAAAGACTTTGGCATTGATAAATTCCGTTTTTCGTGATGCGCCCCACATTCGATTTCCATTCAAAATCGTGGAGAAGTTTTGAGAGCAGCCCTAGACGATAACTTGCGGCACAGACCGAATGTTCAAGTCAGTGTAATTAATATATTCCCAAACGAGTTTGGTACCAGTTAACAGACCCCTGAGATGAAGGGTATGGTCCCTCAGGGCGGGTATCGATCGGGATTCTGCCTGAACCACACATATGATAATGCACCACTTATCACTGTAAAGCCTCCACCCGTAACTATTTCCATACCTATCGTTAACTAATGATTTATTGAATTTTACCTTGTTTTCATTTTTATTTCATTGATTTTTGAAAAGGAATGGAACTGAACACCGAATATACTTAAGATCCTTTGATCTAGCTCAATATTTTTTGATTTTTTTTTATTTTCATCATTATTTCATTTCTAATCGACATATTTACAACATTCATTGCCGTCTCTGTTAAAGATCCTCTCTCACTATCTCATGGTCTCGTCATCTAAGAGGGTTCCTTGACTACCTCCACAACATTATACTTTTTCATTTGCTTGTTTACTTGTGAAGAAGCATAAGTCTTCAAAAAAGTTATAAGAAGGGCGGTTGTACGAGTTTGTGTGTCTGTAACCGTCAGGTGTCTCCCACATCAGAATACTATTTTCCGACGTCCTAGTGCTTCATTGTGAATGGTGCAGCACTAGCAAGGTCGTCATAAGATGGTCACTCTGTACGTCGGCTATTCAGGTTTTGGAGCTCTTATAACGCCCTGTCGAGGTCGTTTTTGATTGGACGATGCCCCAGAAGTTATGTTTGATGGCCGAAAGCTCATCGTAGGGGGAAACTCGAAATTTGTTTCAACGTAAACTATCTTTTCAAGGCTCATTTCTATGAGACTGCTGTGGCTGTTAACAGAAAGTTCTATCATAGACGAAAATTAGATTCGTTGTTTTCCCAAAGGACAGGAACCGTTTCAGGTTCCAGTCTACCATGAGCGCGAGTAGTCACTCCAATCCCTTGAAGGACTGGAGAATGCTCAAGGAATAAGATAGGAAAATAAGGAAGTCGACATGAGTCTTCTACACCATACGAGAAGCACTCGAACAAAATAGGTGATGGGCAGGGAAATGGAACCTCGCAAGAGTCTTCGCGGATTTATTTCAGTAGCTTTATCTTCTTAGACAACGCATGCATGGTTCAATAGACTTATGAGGCTTTCAAAGTCCGCATGGTTCAAGAGGAAAGTGATTCGATGAAATGGGCGAGCACCGCGCTCACTCACTAACTCTGACTATATAGAAACCTATAAATCTGGATGAGGAGATAGTTGGTGAATTTCATCAAGAGATCAATACCTTTCAATGCTATGCTGGGAAACTCGGATTGAAAAATGACTTAACGGCAAAATTAGGCACATCCCAAAGAAATGAAAGGGAGTCCCAGACAGCTCCTCAAGAAGCGAAGCCAGAGAATATATCGAGAAGAGATTTGAGAAAAAAATGATAAATTAGGACTAAAAGGATAGGCACTATGGATTTAAGGTAGTGAAAGACGGCTCAAATTGGCAATTCACTGACATCACTTTCATCTCCACCACATGATTCTGGTAAAGCCCCGCAACTTCAACGATGGGGAGTCCCCCTGAATTCCTAACTTTTGGTGTCGATTAATACTATTCTGGAATGCTTTCCTTGGAATTGACTTTATTCAGAATCGTAAGGGCATATGAGTGCGTATTTGGCCTATACATACAATGACTTGAGGTGGCCAGCCGATGCATAATGTACGCCGATGTATGAGGCTGTTCTCTTTCCCAGCAAACAAATCTGTACCTGTACCACTAGGTAATGAGTGGATGGTCAGCCCAAACTGAAATTGGCATTTTCAATAGTGGTGCTTCGATAAAAGCAATTCTGCAATCACAACGGTAAGACTGCTAAAAAAGGCGTGAGGTCCTAGGTTGGCTTTGCTGGTACCGGTCCAAATTTTGATCGTTGGGTAGTACAACGCACTGTCGCTCTTTTGACCTTTTCATGAAGGAAAATCCATCAAAGTTGATCCACCAAGAGCAGTTTTCGATGGCTCAAGAGCAGATTTCGATGGCTGACGTCTCACTGCTATTTGAATAGCAGAGGTGGCTCTGTAGCCAAAGCAGTCTGCCCAAGCCTCAGTCCCAAAAAGATTTATTGGTACTTGCAACGTCTGTTTGGGAGGAAGATGCTCAGATAGGAGGCCACTAATTTACTGGACAATTCAGTTGCTCATATAAATATCCCTGTCGTGTCTCTACATTAAGCAAGATTGACAACATTGTACTATAGTAAAAATAGGTAAAAAAATCATAGAAACGTTGGTTCCGAAATGGGACTGGGGTAATTTGTCAGACACGGCGAAGAATGATTCAGAAAAGGTGTCATAGAAACGCAAATTTATTCGAAGCTTTCCCCGTAATGTGATTTTGTGACAATCAGATGCCTTCAGCAAAATTGACCGTAAATTTACCGAAGCACATCAGGGATGACAAACTCCGTCCGTAAACGTCCAAATGGTTCTTCCCTCGACATAACTTTTTACGGTGTCTAGAATGGGTTGGTATGAGGAGGATAACCTATTTTCAGACATTCTTGCATTCTATTAATTCTTTTTTGGCGGTGGTTTTCTTTGTGTCGTTGTTTGGCATAAGAGATTTCATTCGGGAACCTTGTAATCATTTCGTCTCAAGTTATGTCCCTGATTCGCCATTTTAGACTTCTCGTCGAATGATAGCCAAACATTTCTGTCGGAAGGCTGCTTCATTGAACCATTATAAAGAACCGGGTGCTAGTGAAGTTGGAAAGTGTCGAGGATAATAGTCGCAATACTTTTATTTTCCCCTTTTACTCTGGTGGTGTAGATATAATTGAATTATATTTTCTTTTTTCAGTTTTAGGTTAATCCAAATTCTCAATTCTTTCAATTCAGTTTTCGACAAGTGGACCAATGTGCTCCCATGCACTCACATGGTTTGGGGATCGGAAGCCAGATCGATAATAGCCCAGGCTGGTCATACTTTCTATCCTTTCCCTACCAGTTGACTGGTACGAGACTCTTCTGTAACGGTAAAGGCTCCAATTTGCACGCATGGCTAATACAAGTGGACGCACCCCCTCGAATGCAGGGCGCGTCCAGGAAGGGAACTGATCAAGATCAGAAGACCTAATCCTTCATTGAGTAGTTCTTCTCATTATTGATATCATTGATTATTACTATAAATTCTTAAAGGAACAAAGCCTAGCGTGAACTGATTAAAGGAACAAAGCCTAGCGTGAACTGAAATTACCGCTAAAATAACCCATTGGCTTAGAGCAAGACATCATCTTTGTGTAGAGGCGAGGGAGCGATCGTACGGAAGATGTTGACTCTCGATAGTTCACCATTTCAACTGGAGAGGTACCGAGAACCGCCTTATATTGTAGTGGCACTTTTTGTAATAATATTTATGGTATAAATTTTGAGCACCAGAAACAGCTAAAGAGATCTGAAAATGAGCTGAAACATGGCTCCTGTACACGAAGATGATGAGATCGTTGTAAATCTGGTCATTGTATAGAGAGGAATCGAAGAGAAACACGATTGATATGAAAACAATGAGGAATACAAAAAACACTGGTCCAGGAAAATCAATAATGGCAAGAGGAACGACAGAAAAAGGAATGACTAGAATCTGAAGATAGCAGTGATGACGAGTGCCAAAGACAATAGCGCTGAGACCGCGTCTGTCAGTCTTTGTTGAATGTCGACTGTCTGTAACGCCTCGATGACGTATAGGTGTAGTAAGCGTCGTCGGCATCGTCTTCTTCTGTTCGGAATCGCTTCGATAACGTGCCCATATTCCCTAAACAACATTGAATCTATACTTTACTGAGTCTATTGATCTCTATTGATTCCTATTGACCTGGGTGGCCTGGAAAGTCTTAGCGGGCTTGTGATGTATTATGTCAGCTAGTTAAATAGCTGCTTTCTATCACTCCAGCCTTCGAAAAAGGCGATTACGCCAGACCTTTTGCTTGTAAATTTTGGCACCAACCTTAGCTCGAAATATCAAATTTTATCATTCTTAACTATTTTGTCTACCTATCTCAAGGAGCTTCTCATTCGCCTTCGAAAGAGCTTCCAATTGGACAAGATTACTTTTGTAGTTTCTAAGCCTGTCAGTACGGCCCTTGTCGTATTTGATCGTGT